TATACGCTGGAAAGAGGGTGATTTTATACGCTCAAAGTTGTGCGTACACATGTATAATTCATGCCATATGATCCTTATACGTGACAGAGCCGTAAAGAGCGGACAGGCTGGAACTCGCCGAAATTTAGCCGTCTTAGAGCGTATTCAAAACAGCGGACTAACAGATCCACGGATCAAGTATGGCCGACCCACTTGAATGCTTGTTGAGTAATTCCCGCAGGAAATTTATTCAGACCCTAATCGGGAATTAAGCGGCAAGCTTTTTAGTGGGTGGCCATATTTGATCCGCAGATCTGTTATTAGTTCGCTGTTCTGAATGCGTTCTTAGATGCGTTTTACAAAAAAAAAAAAAAAAAAAAAACAAAAAAAAAAATAAATAAAAATAAAAATAAATAAATAAATAAATACTGCTTACCCCGTTTTATACCGGGTTTTTAATTAAAAAGTTGAAAAAACAAATTGCGATGCAATTAATAGTCATAGTTACTGTCAGTGGTGATGATGGCCAATTGAGGCATGTCAGTTGCGATTTACTATGGGTCAGTCGCATGTTAAGCGCTCTTAGACCAATACTAGTTCAACGTCGACTTTATCAAGTGGACAAAGTATTTGGACTTTTTGGCAAACGGACATGTGGAAGGGCAACACGGCTTCATAAACAAGAAATTTTAGCGTTTAAACCGATTTCTTTGTGAAGTTACTATTAAAAGTTTCAGCTGTTATTAATCTATTAATTTATTAATGTTGCGTAGCAAATCAATTAATTCTCCCAATTATTAATACTGCAATGAATCAACTTATTTCATCACAATCGTATGACCTTTCGTCAGTCGGATTTGTCATAACAAATACACAAAACTTTTCTTCCAATTTGAAATAAAAACTTTTAACTGCCATGTTTCAGTGTCATTGTCAGTTTTGGGCTGCCTGTGCCTCGGCAACATTGAAAATAACTTTCAAAAATGAAAAAACCTTTAGCTACTTTAATAACACTCATCCAGTACGGAGTTTGTGGTAGAGACAATCTAATAAACCCAGGCTTTGTGCAGCAGAGCAGAAAATCTTTTTTCATTTCTGTATCTTCTATTTCCTATACTATCCCATTACCAAGCATTCAGTTGAGAAACGCTACAAAAATCGAGCATATATATAAAAAATTACCATTCAAGACAATATTCTTTTTTTTTGCAATTTAATCCCACGACTGTTCGTCTTACACAGATCGGTGCTTCAGGACTGAAAAGAACATGAAATTAGTTTTCTTGGCACGCAATCGAAGTTGCTGCTGATATTCTGGCCCTGGTTTCACAGAAAAAAAAGTTCTCTGACTAAGAACTTTTTAAAAGTTCTAAGTCTTCTAACTTCTTAGTCAGAGAACTTTTTTTAAAATTTAAATTACCGAGGTTACATAGTCACATGGGCACATCTTACCCTATCAGTAGCAGTGTAACAGCACTCTCGTGTAAATCCTAGTCAAATAAGCCAGGGAACTGACTTTTTTTTTGTGAGACTGGGGCCTGGTCTGGTTAAATTAAACCACGTAAAGCAGTGAGTGCCAAATGATTATATGGGGGTTCTCTAAAGAGAACACAAAGCAGAAACTATGACTGAAATGCCATAAAACAGTTCACAGTCGCTAATGAAATGAGCTGCCACGTCCGGCGTTCGCCTCAAGCTACGTACGGGTTAATGTACCGGTCCCGCGAGGGTTGAGCGTTCCACACAACGTCTGCTTTTGACCAAAGTGAAAAGCCGGCTTCGTCCTGGTGTCGCTTGATAGATGTGTTTACAAATTTCATGCAGTGCCGCATTCAGACATTAGAAGACTTCAGGAATTAATTCAAGCGGAAAACAAAACTTCCACAAATGTGAATACTGAGAAAAGAAAAAAAAAAAAAAAAGAAAGAAAGTCAGACAAGTCACGACCACAAAGTTGCTTCGGATAATAAAATGTGTCGACAACTTCTTCGCGGGCCAATTTTCTTAGACGACCTTAAATCGGAAATTGTTAGATTGACTCTTAATTAAGAGCAGCACAAGTGAACGAATGCAGTTGTGTGTCATGCAGAACAGCAAAAATGCTTTAAAAATCTCAAGAAAAATACTGAAAGATACTGAATTCACTATGGCGGGTGTGATCGCACTTGTCATGAAGAAAAATTCACCTCAGTGTGCATAAAAGGAATGAAAGGATAAGAATGTTACAGCTCTAGCAGATGCTCCCTCAAATGCAATCAATCATGAAATGTAACACTTCCTTACTGTCCAGTTTTTTTAAGAACGGCAGGCCTCGGATGCGACGCCAACCCTTGCCCCTTGGTGTCGGGTTCGGTATCTTGAAGGGCAAATGGTGCCATTTCGTATTTAGAACTACGATTCAGCTCTTCAAAATTCTTATATCAAGAGGTCCCCCTTAAATCCGCCACTGGTCTTTTGGAGCAGTTTAAAAGTTATAGAGAAAAAAGGCATTCAGATTAATCATTTATCCAGCTACCCTTTCGCTGAATTCCTTGATTTTATTATTTAATATTTGCTCGTACGGTAAGACCAATTATTGTATGAGAAAATCTCTCAACTTTTCATATCTTCCTATTTGTAACATGTCTCCCTGAGTAAATCAACAATTCCCACGTCATTTTGGCACAGAAAAAGGCTTGTCTCCTGAAACAGACGTCAATTTCCTACAGCAATCAAATCATAATGCTTATTCTGGAAATCGAATAATATTTACTGATGATTTTTGATTTCCCTTTATACTTTATACGCGCATTTGGTTTCCTTGCACTTCCTCACAATATGATTTAGTCGACATAAAACAAGGACAATTATTGATCAGTGGGAGGTTTTTGTTATTAATCTCTGAGCAAACACAAATCCGCGCGCCATCCCTCCTTCCGGTCTGCGAAAAACCATGGGTTGTCATTTTTAAAATACACGTGCCTTGTTCCCTTTCATTTCTTTTTGGTCTGTAGCGTAGGTGTATTTGTGCCGTTATTATAAAGGCATTGAAATAATGTGTCCTGTTTGAATATGGTAATTTATGGGAAAATAACCGCTTTATATAGCCATCAGTGTTTTGCGCCATTTTTGCCTCTTGCAAATCGATTTCTTGACTATTACCATTCCTTGTTATATTTCGTTTAATTCATTTCGCAAAACAGCACCCGACACGTAAAACCAAGGTTAGTGCCCAGACGAGTTACTATCTGGGGATGTCTGGAGGCATCGACTTATTTGCGTCTCTTGTCTCCATCTTCTTCCGAGCTTCATTGTATGCGCCGATCTTATTTCTTTACAAAAGTTAAGCAGCTTTGGGGAAAGTTTACTTGTGTTTATTCAATAATTCCTCATTCACAACATAATTTTATTCTGTGAAAAAGGAACCCACCACTACCGATGACACGAACTCGGAGTGACATGTATCAATACCGAGCAACTAATATTTAAACTTAAGTCATCTAAACGTAATTTTTAGAATTTGAAGAAAAATAACTTGCAATGAACAACAGTTTTGAAGATTGAATTTAATTTTTTTTTTAATTTTGTTTTTTACTTGCCACTGCAGATAAAATTTACTTTGAATGGCTTTGTCTGTTTATTACTTAGAATTTTACATTTCACATTTTGAAGTAAGATTGGCCTCTTTTTAACATTTCTCAAATGGAATACTGTACGTATATCTGTCCTTTTTTTCATAATCTTTACAGATATACTAGCATACATATTGCAAGTGAAATAAACTTCTTCGATCATAATAACAGTTTCGCTTATATTTTTCATCGTGGGAAAACAATCTGGAACAAGTTTTGCCAAGCGAGGTAAATTTGTACAGGACAAGGTTAGCGGCGGTACAAAGAGACCGCTATATCATGTTACGAAGACGTTGATGCACAATTGACCCAAGAACAATCGCATTCTGGGCATTTTAATCCAAGTATCGACCGTTATCCAACTCACCGGTAATTGAGCTGGACAAATACGCAGAGTTGGAATTTCTCCGGTAAAACTTCTTTGACCCGTGATACATATTGTCGCCAGTCACGGGCGTGTGTGACTTTATTTTGAAAAGATTTTCTGGTTTATAAAACCGGTTCTATTAATGTATCGACTGCAATGAAAGCGTTTAAGTTAATCTACTTGTTTTTCCCTGTATGGAAACCGGGCATTTCCAAGTTGTTCGAGTCAAGGTCACACGCTAATATGCCTCAGTCAAGGTCACGCGTTATGATTTAATAGTGTGAATTAAATTTCGTCATTTGTATTTCATTTTCATTTTGGAAATTTCGTCATCATCTCTGAACTAGAAAATGCACAAAATCTTCAGTTGATTGAACAGCCTTAATAGAACTCAAATATTAAATGTAAAATCCACACTAATAAACGGACAAAGCCATTTAAATAAATTTTATCTGTTGTGGAAAGTGAAAAAAAAAAGGAAAAAAGGAATGAAAAAACAGCAATATGCAGAAAACCTTAAAACCGCTAACAGGGAATGACGAGAAAAATGAAAGAAACGCCAGGCACTAATCAAATTCTACAATGACAATGATCAAAATGAAACCATGTAGTGAGTGAGATCCAAAAAGGGCAAGTAAAATGTCAACTGCCATTAAACGGACCATTAGCGTGGACAATAAAAGACGATAGGATTGAAGTAGCACGAGTTGATAACTCCATTCCATAACGAAGTAACGGTCATTCCGACGTAATTTGCAGAAACCCCAACGGCAATTTATTTCTTTTGCGACTGCATATTTTTGGGGGCGAGAAGAAAGATGCCATACTAACAAAGTTTTATTATTTCTATATTGAACACTTTTATAATATATTTCGAAATATAACATTATTCTGAAAAATTTTTAGATTGCCCAATTCGCTTTTTTAAAGTAATATAAATAAAGAAAGAGCAAGGTATATAATATTATTATTTTGGATCAAAGTCAATACCGGACTTTCTTCCTATCTGATCACGTGACCATTCGACATTTCGCACCTTTCACAGGTATTCTACTAATAAGTAAAAAAACCCCGATAAATTCCTAGATATTTTTTTATTTTTGGGCGCAAGTACGCGGGTCTAGATCGTACATTCATTCAATGCGGGCCTCACCATAAAATGCATTAAAGAGTGCCAACAGCAAGGTGCTAGGATGATAAGACATTCATTTCAAAGTTCCGTATTTATTTGGAAAAAAATTGGCGCAAATACGAGTTACTCTTCGCCAAATCCATTTGTCTTAGTAGAAATAAACTCACTTTAGCGATAATGATGCGATATAGAGAACCAAGGATCCTCCCACCAAAGTCATCCTATGCGATGTTACAGCTTTACACAAATTTTCCTTTTCTTCGGCCTCGAGTTAATTTTCTTGTACAAAGTATCCTTCCTTGGGGAAATGTGTTTTAATTACAGGAGTTAGCAATGCACTTAATGAGGAGGACTGCGATTTCATCCAAAAACAAAGGAAAAAACTATTCCTGTGTATCCATACTCACTTGGTTCCATTTAAATTAATGAATAATCTGAATAATCTTACACATTTATTCTTTTACACCCAGTATTACGAAAAATGTAATTTTGTCAATGTACTTGAAGATAATAAATGAAGAAAATAAATGACTGCGAATGTCTTTGAAGTTGCCTCAAATTGGAAGATGCCATAGTAAGCAGATCTCTTCAGTTTAACTGCACTCACTGTGTGCCCGACGGTCTGAAATAATAAACAATAAGTTTTATTACTTGTATGCAATAAAAGCAGTTCAAACAAGGACAAATGAACGTTTATTACTTTTATACATCAGGCCCGTAGGCAGCATTTTCAAAAGACAGGAAAGAGGGAGAGGGGGGAGGGGGCGGGCGGTTGTGAGAAAGTGGACGTTTTAACCACGTAATTCGTGTGCTTAGATCAATATTTTACTAGAGCGGATATTTTCCCGACAACAAGGAAGGTTCGTTTGTTTGACCCCCCCCCCCCCCNTTGAAAGTCGTTCAAACAAAGACCAACTTACAATCAGTTTGAATCTCCTCTAATAAAATTACGAAGCACATCAAACCATATGATATGATATGTATTTAATATTTAAAATGTAAATTATAAACACATTCAGTGAAAAATTTCTACACTTCATGCAAAGCAAAGCAGTTATCTAGAAATTATAAACAAGGCTCCCAAAAAATCTCTACGCTAAATAAACGACCAAAACGTCTGGAAAAACACTTATTACCAAGTCCTTTATTACTCCCCCAATCCCAGTCGACTGATTTAAAACTATGCTATGATATAATGGATTTTCCTCAAATACTTTTGAATCGACTTTTACACTACATCCTGAATTTCTTTTTTTTTTCAGCTGTTGATGTTGCAGGGTTAATACCATCATTCCATGACATTTACACAGCAATAAGGTCTGGCATCTCTTTCAGAAGTTGCCCGTACCTTTTATTGATCACTTAATTGTAATCGAACGTGGCGCAAAACAGACAGCGGTGATGGGATCGCCAGACAAAACAACCATTTAATTAAACCAGCAATTTGTCAATCTTTGAGGCAGGGGAAGTTTTTAGTCACCCAGAGAGGCGGAATGACCCTAAGCAATTACATTTGCCAGCTCAGTAAAATACCAGTCGTTTCTTACTGTGGTTCAAACGGTTAAATCAATATATGTATACAAAGCAATAAACTGTAGCTAGAAGTTGTTTCCAACATTTATAATACCAATGCATTATATAAGGTTGGAGATTATGCACTCCAAATATCTTGTGCTTAGAAAAGAGTCATGCAAGAAAGCAACAAAATTTGTCACCGTCAGGTAAGGAGTGATTATGTCATACAAACAAATAATGGACATAAATTAGGAATTAAAAATAAACAAAATATGTAAGTAATTTAAACGTATACTGAAAAAGACATTATAAAATAAGGAGGCAGCATAAAGAAGATACATCCCCCACCACTATATATATATCATTATCATTCAATAGAAAACTCAGCATAGAAATTTAAGGGGAAAATCAAGTTCACCGGCTAATACGTGTTCAATCCTCACATTATATAATGTCAGCATCAACGTCAACCTCATTTACATTGTACATTATTGGCTTAATTGGCAATAATTGATAATATTCATTTTATCATTCAAATCATAACACTATCTCTGATCATCGTTTGCACACTTGATTTGTACAAACAATGTCCTTCTGTTCTGACAATTTACTACTGTTCTTCAATTTTGATTCAAATACATTTTGGGAACATAAAATTTGCCGTAACAATTCATTTCTATCAAGATATATCAAAACATAGCTATGCTGCCTGCTATTCTTTTCCCTACAGACAAGAATATATATGCCAAAATATTGGAAACTTTGGAACAGATAGATGACAAATTCAGAAATGTCCTTACAAAACAAAACAATCAGTGCAAAGCTGTAAAAAGTTTTATGATATTACATCAATTAATCAAAGGATTCAGTCAGCAGAACAATAACCCCAAATGTGAACAATTCAAGAAGAACATCTCAAAAATATCAATAAATGTGTTGATTTATGATACCTCTCATTTGGAAGATGGCTAATGGGCACACAATTTGAAACCTGTCATTTCAACTTTCCACAATCAAAAGAAATATTTCATTAACAAACAAAATGTGTGGTTGAAGCAGGAAGGAGTTTTCCACTTTTAAATTGCCTGATAATTCAATCCACCAGCCCTAAGACAAACAGACATCAAGGATTCTAGGATTAAAAATTTTGCTTGTACAGACAAAAATGGGCAGACAGCATTTCAAGGGAAAACCACAGGTATTGTTGTGACATAATCGACCTCATGAATTATCAGGAAATAACATGAGCCTGTTATTATCCTTTAATGAAAAGTGGTTCACTGTAAAACGATCAGGTATTGTTCAATACATAAATACCTATTGATCCCTTATCTGGCAAAATATTTTCAAGCATGAAATTCTTAAATATCAAAGGCAGGGATAAACTTTCCAGATGAACAACTTATTTTCTTACATGCAACATAAAAACTGCAATTATGTTAAGTTTCATATTAACATTAACATTATTAACATTTTTTTTGTTTAAAAATGACCGGAAATACCTCACTTTTTTATCAGAAATATTCTGGCAAATAAGTCCATCAGATTTACTACTTTCATTAATTTCCCTTTAGATACACACCTTCCCCCCCCTCCCCCGACACACACACACAAATAATAATGTTTACACACATGAAAACACCCGGCCTCAAACATATTCCAATATGTATACCCTGTACTTACTTTGCCCATTCAACCTTCAAGATCAAGTGGTCATAACCAAATCCAGATACTCCTTTTATAGCTCGAGCAGCATCCTCTCTTCGGTGGAAATTTATAAAGGCAAAACCCTGAAGACAAAGACATGCTTCATTAAACATGCAGTAAAAACTGATTGAGGAGTTTTAAAAAACACTAGCCATCTAGCCATTCTTACACCACACACCAATTTAATAAGATGATCACAGCAAATATAAAGGCATTTTCTGTTGTTATGTTGCCTATTTAAACTGCAATTTTTGGAAATGCTTTAGAGTACTGTTAATCAAAAATAACAAAACAAACAGCTGTAACATATCAAATGAACTATTCCAGCTTGTGAGCATTGATTATTTTTAGTTCTTTAATTTAAAAATTCATACAATAATTTAATACAGACATTTCCAAGGCTGTTACCCTACCTTTGATTGCCCTGTATTTTTATCCTTTGCCAGGTATATCCTGGATATTGCTCCAAATGGCCGGAACAATTCTTGAAGATCTGCTTCCCGTGTGTCTTCCGAAAGATTGGTCACTCTGATCGTTGCAGCTTCATCTGGGAAAAGATTGAGAAAATATATTAATTTATGAAGTATATATCACCAAAAATTCCTTTTACATGCACTTTATTGTAAAAATATTCATCAATTAATGAATTTAATTGAAAATCAGTATTTTTTTCTTTATATATAAATTGCCTTCCCTCTATCTTTCTTTTCTAAAGAGAAAATGAATCCAATCTCACTAATAAAAGAGTAATACAACACAGGATGTTTACCTGTTTACCTCTACCAAATTTTTTTTGCTTTGCTGTTGTTGCTTTACTAGTTCACAACCTAACTCAAAAACTTATGGATGAATTTTGATTATAAAAGGATAGGTTAGAAATGGGATATTCATTCAATAGACTTTGCTGCTGATCCATAAACTGACCCGTTTATCAATAATAAAGAGAATTGTGCCGTCTTAGTTCAGGTTTGCACTCTCCAAGCGCTTTTCTATTTCGTTATGTTATCAAATCAAGGGTTTTCCCAGCGAACCGTCCAGCCGTTAAAAATATAGGCCGTTCAGTGATGCTGGTAGGATGGCCACCAGCGTAACTGAACGGCCTACATTTTCAAAGATGGCCGGATAGCTAATGGATTTTTTTGGAAAAATGACGGCTTTAGGCATACTTGGACTCCCTAAATTTTTCAGGAAATTACAGGTCACCCATGGTAATTTTGGCTGGCCGGTACCCCCAATCCTGGGAAATACCTTGTATGAAATGATCATATTTCAGCGTTATAACTACCTCCTCTTTTATTGGGCAGCATGGAATCTCCTTTGCCTGTCTTTGCCCCCTCTCTAAGACTGGGAGGTACATATTTGCCTCCCACTTTGGGAGGAGGGACTGGTGCAGGCTGTGCCGGCTGAGAGGAGTCTCCTGGAGCCTTGTCTCCTTCTGCTAATGTTTCCTAAAATAACATTAATAATAATAATAGTAATAATAATAATAATAATAATAATAATAGTAACTAAAGAATCAGAGAGAATATACTGCTTTTGGGTATTGTACCACCAGCCGGAGTGAGCAGATTTGTATGGCAGAGCCAGCAGACGAGACTGGTTGGGACTAAAACTTTTAAACAATCCTAAAAAATATGAGTTCCCAAAGTATGCTGCTATTTTGGGGAAGATGTACCTACAATATTATCATGTAAAGTTAGCACTGCCATGTGACGATTTCTCAGTACAATTTCAATCTGCTTTGGTGGAAAACCAGATACTTAATCCATGTACAAAAATCAGGTCTTCTGCCCAAACATCTCATTAGATTTTTCAAAGTAAGTGATTGACAACGAGGCAAATACAAACCAAAATCTCAATCAATATGTTATGCCTGCATTGACTTAGTTTGGGCCAAACTATCTGCCAAGACAAAATTTATAAATCTTCTTGTAGACTGCAACATAGTAGGTAGTAAATTATTTCTTATCTATAAAGAATACAACAAATATCACATACCAAAAACTATCTTCAGAGTTTTTTTCTACAGGACTTTTCAAGCTCACATATATGTGCCTACCTGTATAGGACCAAGTGTGTCCTTATAAGGACATTTTGTGGTCCAATGGTCACCTTTACAAATACGACAGGAGACCAGTTTCTGTCCCTTTAACTTGGCCAGAGGATCTTCCTCACTGTCATCTTGTACCTAGAAATTAAGGTATCATAACACAGTGTATATGATTACTGATATAAAATACGGAAAGAAAATACACAACAGTTTGAAAGTCCACCTTTTACTTGTGAAAGATAATGAAAATATACACCCTGATAAAATAATATGTGTAGGAGATGTTTCCAAAAGCACATCTTAAATAACATCTTGGTAAAAACTGAACATATTCAACATCAAGTCACTGGAAACCCAATGCTTAAAGCACAAATGCATTTTTCTGAAAGGCAAAATATCAGCTGTAAATAAGCTAGAATGTTGGTCCACAATCATGCAAAATATTCACCCCAGCTACCCACTGTGATAGCAGAATATCTAAAATTTGCTTCAATCATACAGAAAAATGTGGCTATTACTATTTCGTTCCTGGACAAAAAAAAGGCACAACATCTAAAACGGTCCACTTACCTCTTTATTGTGTACAAACACCATGTAGACCTCCTCTCCTAGCACTGTGTTGGCCGGGTTGGGGCCAGGGGGGTCATTGGCAGCTAAACCAAATTTCCTCCAAGTCTAAAATAAAATAAATAAATAAAATGAAAAATAAATTTAAAAAAAAAAAAACTTGACCATGTAGACTAAGAAAGGGTTATCGAATCTACCTCTCTTTTTTTTTTTAATGGCAGTGCTTTTTTTATTCTTTACCTTATAAAAAATAAATTACTATTCAATGAAAAAAAAAAAATCAATGCATGGGTTAATTACAATATTGATGGATGCACAACGAGTGGATTTCACCTACACATGCTGACTTATAATTTGGAGAATATCAAGAACAAAAGACCCAGCCATGTGCATTTTGCATTAATGTATTATTTAATATTCAATATTTTCAAAAGCATTTCCACATGGTATGAAGGGAGATTAAACAAAGACATGCAGTGCATACCTTTCTTTTGGCAATGGTCTTGAACACTCTGCGTGTCTCCACTCTGTATGTCTTGACAACCTAACATATGATATAAATGGGTTCATTTGCATACAATCACATATTACTATTTTTTAAAACAACTGACTTTCTGCAATATTCTAACTTTTAAAGATTTGTTATTTTTCACTCACAAGAACTCAGAACATTAAATTTTCCAAAATAAAGGCAAACTTTCTAAAACTTCTGAATCAACACCATGAATTATTTTAAGTAATATTGTCTTGTTACTTGGAATTTTTTGAATAAAAAGACATACATCAACTGTGAAAAAATATTTTCATACAATGCTTTGTTGATAAAACTTCAAAACAATGAAATTAATATCACAGTACCCTGTTTTTTAGAATAAAGTATCAGCAATCAGTGCATGTGTGCACATCTGCTGCTTGAAATTTATTTTTCTCTTACCTTCACCTTCTTTCCATCTTCATTAATCTTGTACTCTGTGACTTTCTTAATACCAGTTGCCTCATCATAATCTTCAGATGGAGGTGGAAGATCATCTGAATTGAAGCGACACAAATTACAGACATCTTTCTCTTCCTACATTTTCACACTGCAATGCACTCAATAATTAAACATGCCCTTTGACATGTCACTGATCAGTGACTTGTCCCTTAGGGTGAAAAACATAAAACAATCTCTAATAAATAAAACCAAATCAAACTTGTGAATAAAATATGCAACATAATAACAAAGCACATGTGGTTTTTTGACACAAAAGAATAAAATGATGCCAGTTTGGAGAATCTGGATACACTCGGTAACACGAATCCATCACTAACGGCGCCGACACTGACAGTAAAGGGATTGCAGAAAACGACAAGACAAATAATAGGACGGATGTGGAGGGAAAACATGGTCAAAACGAATAATGCAAAGGCAAACAAGTTATCGAGAGTGTGACATCTTAAACAAACCGGTCAAAACAGAGAAATGAAGACATGCCATATGGCAAAAATTAAAAGTGACTTACCTTCTTCGCCGGCTTCTACTTGGTCAGCCCAGCTGATTGACGTGCTAAAACATTACAAAAATGAAGAATTATGTAACATAAACGTGAAAAGTTGTAACGTGTCACAACATTTAAATTATCAAGCGCTAAAATAGAGTTTGAATCTTACTCTGTATCTATCGACGGCATCCTCGTGGGTAAAAATGGCGGAGTGTGATACTAACGCGCGTAAAATGTCAAACAAAGGTGAAAATCATAATAAAAAAAATTAAGATGAACACATGGTAACTACTGAATGAAACATGTTTTATATATCTAAAAAACTTGTTTTTCTGGGAATATTGTGCATTGGATAGTAAAATTGAGACATGAAGGATCTTTTATATTCAAGAGCAATTTGACTTTATAGCTTGCCAAAAATCTGTACTTCCGTTTATTGATGTTGCCGTCTTTGTGTACAAGACAGATACGAAAGTTGGTGACATTACTTAAAGAAGAGTCACTGATCAACTTAGCCACGACAGTGCTACCATCCAGTCATGGCTACAGCTCAAGAATTTTCGACAGAGGATGCGAAAGGTAATTTGTGGATGAATTGCGGTGTTGCCTCTGTCAATTTTGCCTTAACTTTGCAATACTGAAGTTACAGTACAGTGCCGTTACCTTGCCTCAGTTTTCGGCCTAACATGCAAGGAACTTTCCGCAGGTGAGGCTTCATAACACCCTGCCTCACGAGTTCTCTTGGCTATGAATATCCACGTCCTGGGGTAACTGTGGGTCCTTCGTCACTTTGAAACATACCATCCGAAAATATTCATTATCATTTTGTTTCTGTTCCCAAACCAGTTACTACAGTAAATAACACTTTTCTCTTTTTATTCCGGCAATATAGCAACTGGCACCACATACATACATAATTTGTAAGTGACATCACATCAGACCTGGATAATTTCTAGCACAGGGTGAAATGAGGCCCCACCTGCAAAGTGCAGAGGCCGGCTGGGGTTGGCCCATGCTCGGTAGCTCAGTTGGGAGAGCAGTCGCACGGTTTGCAAGAGTCCTGGGTTTGGATCCCAGTCAAACCGGGTGTTTTTCTCCTCCCAAATAACTACAGAAGCATTTAAGATTGAAAACTTAGGCAAACCACTAGTGGACACTGGCTCTTGGTGATCTATATATACAGTAGCATGTTAGGCAAATCATGGGATCACTACCGCAGGATGAGTGTACTAAACTTTGTGGTATTTGGGGCCTTTTGAAAAAAAAAACTAGGCTTAGCTCCAGGCTAACAGTTCCATCATGTTTCTTTGGAATTTAAAACCTCAGTTACCAGAAATCTCTTTTCATTTTTAGTTGTTTTAAGGGACATTCTAGAAACCTTCACCATTCCTGAAAATCAGGTCCGAATGGAGGAGGCGAGGGACAATGCAGGCAATGACATGATGAAGGTGATGCAGATGGTGTTCCCAGTTGCCACTCAGATCCAAATGGATGTTATACAGAGATATGGCTTTCCGGGGGATGGAGACGGTAAGTTGGCCTTGTCCTCAGTTTTTGGCATTACATATACTAGGTAAAGTCCCCGTACACTGGACAGTGTCCTTTCTGTGTTACATAGTATAGTGTGTAAGAAGAAGAAAAAAAAAAAAAAACAACTGGCCGATCATTGAGCATTCATTTTGCAACCATAGTGATGCTTGTGCCTCCTTTCTATGACCACAGTGATGCAGAAAGGACAGCATCCAGTGTAAATGGGGTTTAAGTAATTGATGCATAACAGCAGGTAACGTCAGTGCTTGTGCTATTGAAATAAATCAGTTAGACAATTAATTTATGATTTCAAGCTGTTGAAACCTTTTAACTTCATTAAAAATATGGGACCTGTTGTAATTTCATGGATTATCATATCAGTAAGTAAGTTGCAAAACTATTTTTAATTAAAAAAAGATTTACACATTTATATTTCACAGGTATTATAAGATTTGCTCAGACCATCAAGGTGCTGGAGAAGCAAGATGCCACAGTGGCAGAACTAAATTCCAAACTGAAGTCTATAGTGATGCCTCCTATGGGTGCCCCTCCAGCCATGGACTCCCCTGCGTCGTGACAGATATGGACAAATATCGTGGCTTCAGAAGGTTTGGTGAAGGCACGGGGGCATGTTTAGAGCAAAAAGTGACATCGGCAAGCACTGAAATTGCTTTTAGGATGTTCCCATATGGGAACATAAGGTGCTTAAGTGTTCATAAAAAACTACTCAGTGGTGCCCCCTTCAGGTGATACCCAGGGCAGGTGCCCTTACTGGCACACCGTGGATATATTTCTGAGACTGGAATTTTAAGGACTCGGACTGGATGGGTATAGACAACTTTTGAGTTAAAAATGCTCAGATATGAAGGTGGAGACTTGTTGCTAATATGGAGAGTAGTGGTAGAAGTAGTATTAGCAGTAGTAGTTTATTTTCCATTGTGGGACATGGCAACAAAGATTTGTGACTAGTGCAAAGTAAAAGGCACACAAATGTACACAGAGTTTATTAAATAAGTAAATACTGTGAATATGCCTTATACTCAAAATCTGTTAAAATACTAAGGTACTCATAATGCTCTCTCAGTTTTTGTGCTTAAGTTCTCTCTTAACGCCCACCCGTTGTTGCTTATCAAGAAGAAGAAGGAAATATGTCGGGGGTATCAAGTACCGTTTAACATCGTGCTGCACATGTGATTAAATAATTTTAATACACTGTGATGCAAGATATTTGTATTCTACTAATACAAGAGAGGGGAGTGGAAAGTGAATAAAATGAATAAAAATAATGTGACAAATTGACAATTACCATTTTTGCCTGAAAAAATACTTCCTAAACGTCTAATTTAATGTGAAGTACATTTCAGTGAATAAAATGAATAAAAATAATGTGACAAATTGACAATTACTATTTTTGCCTGAAAAAATACTTCCTAAACGTCTAATTTAATGTGAAGTACATTTTATTTAAGAGTTGATCCATGCTAGTGGTAGGGTCGACCGACACAAGCGCAAAGGGTCGGATTCGAATTTTTTTTCCCCTAATTTACAAAGTAAAAATAAAAAGAGTCTGCCACGAATGTTACTTTTGGATATTTTCATATATTCATCCATTCATTTCATTAATTTATAAGAAATAGCAGCGTTTTTATTTTGTTATTAGTCTTTATTGTTACATCATTGATGAATCTCTGTCTAAGATCAACCCACGCCACTACAAGAGCCCGTCTCAGCTCATCCAGTTTAGTCGCCCAGATCTTTCCCTTCTCCGCAAACCGGTCTAGAGCGTTCCAACCGTGCTGAGTGGGGAATATTAGATTTATTTTTTATTTTAACATACAACTGCATTCATATGACTGAATTCCGAACAGACATTTATACCCGATTTTGGCATTTTATTATATAACTTTTGTGCGCATTTGCAAATGTCCTAAAGTAGTATTTTCTGTCAAAATGTATCCTGCAAATATACATGTATCTTTCCCATTTCAGATATTAAAAACCATGAAACGGTCAAACCCCTTTTTATACTTGAGAGAAATTTATGAAAATTATTATTTAAAAAACGTCCGAATGAATTTACACGTGCCTTTATTTAGTGATATTCGAATTCGAGCTGACCCAGAGCACCTCTACATTTTGTAGCTGCATTCTGAGTAAAGTCCATTATAATATCTACGATTTTAAAACGGCTCCTCTGCGCCAGTTTCACTTAGCTAGTTTCTCTATAGNATATCCAAGAATGCACACTTTTTAAGGATGGGCAAAACTTGATAAGCAAACACAAATTCACCCTGGTAGTAGATGAAAAGCCATGGATGTGCAGTTGTAATTCCAGTAGTATTCCTATGGCCAGTGACGGCCATCTTGGGTTTTCTCAAAATGATCAAATATGCACATTTATTACCTGCTAGATATGTATCACAGTGTAATAATAATAATGTGTAAAACACTAAAAAAATAAACTGAATTTGATAGTGAATTAGTTGGCATTAGTTCCAACCCTTTGTAATACTAGAAGTATTCCTATTACATATGACGGCCATCTTGGATTTTCTTCAAATGCTCAAGAATACTGTTAGTTACTCACCACATACATATTGTGTGGGTAGAAAGGATGTGGAAAACACTCAGAAACCAGCTTAATTTGATAGTGAAAAACTAATCTTTCCAGTTGCCATTAGTTGAATCCCCCGTTTACTAGAACTCCTGTGGCACATGGCAGCCATCTTGGATTTTCCAAAATGCCCAAGAACATTTTGTAGTTACTCACCACAAACATATTATGTGGGTAACAAAGATCTGAGAAACAGACTTAATTTGATAGTGGACAACGTATCGTTCTAGCTGGTAATAGTTGTGCACTAGTATTCCTATGGCTGTTTCTATGGCAAATGACAGCCATCTTGGATTTTTTCAAAAAGTCCAAGGGAACTTGTTTGCTATCTGACATATATGAATAAAATGGTTAATAAGGGTGTGGAAAACTCTGAGAAAATAATTTATTTGATAAAAATCAACATAGGTATGTACATAATTCTAAAGATTTCAATAAATTGGCGGCCATTTTGGATTTTTTGGCCAAACGGTAAATTTTTTCCGTGGGCTACGGCTCTAATTTGATTTAGAATGTCAAAAGGTACCCACATGCAAAATTTGGTGCTTTTATCCGCCGTGTCACGATTTTTTCCTTAAGCCACCGGACTACTAGAAGTGGTGAACACTTGGCTGTTTATTTTTCAGGAAGGCCACCTTCAGATGTGGTGCTGTATATTTAAGTTTATTGAAATAATGCCAAACTAATTATCTAAAGAAAATTCGCCGAAAAAAATAATCAAAAGTCATCAAGCTGTTTGCCTAGATTATGAATATAACCTTACGTTCCATAAATCTCAATTTCGTCTTTTAAAGGTATCTCTATTTTCCGTTTTAAGACGGAAATGTGCGTGGGCAATATTCGTCCTGAAAATTATCACAAGTAGCAGACATCTGATAAGGGGTTTATGGGTTATGTACGAATAAAGGCAGACGTTATACAGTCACGTACAAGCGTGGTTAAATCTCCTCGTGTCTTTGAGGTCAGTTTTCAGTCACCTCAAGCCTATCCTAATACTATCGATTAAGAAGGGAAACATCTGTGAATTGGGTGAACGTACTCAGAGACGCGTTTAAGGTGTACAGTTGCGCTCATCAATAGCATTCGAATGTAGACCGTCGTTTTGTGCTCTATGCATATGGCATGAGTTAAATTGCGGTTAGAAATTTTTAGTGTGACGACTTTAATGTGAGTGCTGTACAGACATACAAAGATGAAGAGTCAAGTTTATTTAAGAAATGATCATCCAAATTATTTCAAATCGGGTACTATCTAATGAAAAAAATACATGTGCCCGCCCAATCATGCCCAAATATTAAAGTCATTATTAATGGTCATTCCCGAAACTAAATCAACATTATATAATGATTTGTCGATTTAAGTTTCTAGAATAAATGACATCTTGCCATAATCTACAAGAGGAAAACTCAATTCATCTTCATTCCGAAAACTTAATGAACACGACACAATAGATCTCAAAACAAGTATCTTCAATTTAATATTTGGAATTATATTTTTATATATAACATTGCCCCCCCCCCCCCAAAAAAAAAAGATATATAATAGTAATAATAATAATAATAACAATAATAATAATAATAATAATAATAGAATCATTCACCCGAGGAACAGCCCTGCCCCCAGTCTCACTGTATTTCCACAGGACCTCTCTCATCATAATTTTTTTGTCTGATTAGCGTGATATTGGTCTAGCGAACTGAAAATAAATAAATAAATAAATAAATAAATAAATAAATAAAACATGGTTGCCAAATGCGGCTCTTAAGAGGGTTGGTGTTATCGAAAACCAATAGGTGAAACAAAAGGGGCTTATAGACATGTGATGAGTGCAATTAACACTTATCCTTTAACAATCAGAACTCAAACCAATATGCCAATGAAAAGTTATTATCGCATGGTACCACGGTCGTGACGTGCAATTGCCCACACCCTTAGGTTCAGCTTCGTCTGTTCACCGTCCTTGAGACTACTTTTCGACCGTGAGAGCGTCACAGTAAAGTGTGAAGATAATTTGCATAAGGCGTGACACGTAATGACTCCAGAGGACGATCTGTTATATAAAAGCTCGTGTCCTAGGTAAATAGGTCAGTTGACTTTGTTTTTGTGTCGTTCGAAATTGGTGCGGGATCCAAGTAAGTGATTTATGTTTTTTTTTTATAAAGTTTTGCTTGGACATGGGAAGTTGAGATTAAATTAGAGTGATCGCATTGATGAACCTGCTCACTCAGTTGCATGGGTGTTTATCAAAGTTTCTTGTTGTAGGGTTTTCCGGACCGATCGTAAACCTTTACTTCGGCACTAAGCACTTTGGCACTGGTTGCTACATCGGCTTTACGAAAACTAATAAGACAAATCTTTTATGACCCAGTGGCATTAGATTTTGCTAAATAATATTTTATATAAAATATGAAAAAATTAAATCATTGCGTTTTTCTTAACACCAGGTATATTTTGCATTCACATATTGGTAATATAATTATGTATTAATGCATGATATAAATAAAGATATGTAGGATAGTTTAATTTCAAAACCGAATTTGCTTGTATGTTTTATAATATGTAAATCATATATGTTTCGTTTCAGTAAGTACAGAAGCATGAAGTTTTTGGTATTCTTAGGACTTATAGGGTAGGTTAATATTTTTTTCTGATTTTTCTTGGTTTAATTTATATGTATTCTTTAAAAAATCAGTTTGACATACTCAAAAATACGTTGAAATAGGAGCAGCTTTGTCAATGCCTACGCTTAGCTTAAGCTTTCGTAGATTAATATCATACTGAGTAGTAAAATATTCTTTTTTTATCTTCAGGTTTGCTATTTGCCAGGACAGGATCGACCAGCTGTTTAGCTTGGCGGATGCCAACAAGGACGGCTCCATCCAAAAGGCCGAACTGGTGGCCGTGTTCCTTGCATATGATGAGGACAGTAAGCAGTCGTTTCTTTCTCTCTGCACATCCGTGTTTCCTATTGAAATAAGAAAATCATGGTAAAGATATCAATACATGAGCAGCAAATGTTTCACCTGTTCTCTTTGTTTTTTTTTCAATATGGTCTTGGAATACTTGGACCTTTTAAGTAAAGGGAGGCTTATTTCATAAGCATCTGTGATTACTTCATATGAACCTTTCTTACAATGGTTTAAAGAACACAGTCGTAGGATAAGCGTTAGTGTAAGTAATAAGAACAATACTTTTCAAATTAAATTCTAGCGTTGTTTCCCTTATGAAAAAAGTCCTAAAGGATCCTATGGGAAATTGGACTAATTTTCTAAAGGATCGTTAGGGAATTCGCGTGTCTAGGTCCAAATTGGCAAAACGATACGTAGCTTGTATAACGTAATCTCGGTAAAAAAAACCCTACCGTATTTGTTGGTACATGTACTCATTTGTTGTTTACGTATTCAAATTAATTTGAAAGCTTAATTTTTTTTCAAATGCACCATTCTGGAACCCTCTTTTTCGAAATCTTTAATCATAGTCTTTATTGATACCCTGTCTTATTTCCCATGCCAAATGAATCCCAATAAAGTGCAGCTCATTCTGTTATCCAAATATTAGGCACTGGATCCAGACAGTAGTATAATTAGTGAGTAAAGATCGGTATCAGTGTTGATTTTATCAGTTATTTTCCCGGAGTGGATATATATCTGTTTGACCAGTTATAATTTCTTTTTGGCGATAGGAAGCTTTGTATATTGAGTGCATGCATTCTTCAAAACGATCTAGCTCAGCTGGGAAGGTAGAACCTAGAATGAGTCAGGCCGATTCGTCTGGTCTATATTTACACTTCTGCACAAAACTTCCTTACAATTTATTTTAAAACCAATCCACACTGTCTTGGAAATATTTGGTTTTAACCCAGAATATTAGGAAAACCGACGTTCACTGTAGGTCTCAAGAGTTTTTGAACGATTTCTCTGATCCGTCCAAGAATACCACTGTGCCCTCCGCATATGGTTTTAATTTTATCTTTTCCCTGCAATAACGAAAGCTCTGATCTTTAATCTATGTTTTATTAGAATACCCATTATTTTTGCACATAAATCGAATATATATTGGAATCTATGTCGACACCATCAGCCTATCTTGCAAAAAAAATGAAAAATCCTTGTAAAACATTTGAATGACGCACAGTTCTGCGCTTTAAAAAAGAGGTTTAATCACTTCAAAAATACAAGAATTCTATTTTTTTCATAAAAAAACCCCAAAAAATCCATAACAGATTCTATTTTCTTAACAGTGCGTGGAGAAATGATTTTATAAGTATTATTATGAAGAGAGGTCGACCTCCAGTTTGTCAGTTCCAAACCGTTTTGAGAAACGCAACTGAGTGTCCGTGTAACAGGGTTAGCCTGATCTAAGTGGGTCAAAATCCAAGGCAAGGCTTTTATGTACAAATGAATGGGAAGCAAACACTTTATAAGGGGGTATCTGCCACGTCACACCGGCTCTGTGAGCTCCTCCGGGTAGCGTCATGGCGGCGGACACAATTCACCGTACGTGAATAGGAAATCATGAACTGGTACTCCTAATGTGGCATTGAATTTGACATTTGGGCTACTTTTCTCCATCAAATGCTCTCTTCAAATTTCCTAGCTTTTATATTTATGCTAGGTGATGGCAGGGTAACGGAGACTGAGTTTGTCGACAACTGGGTTGCCGGTACAGGGTCCTCCCAAGAAGCTGCGAAGGCACTCTTTGATCTGACTGACGCCGCGGGTGCCGTCGCGGACGGCGCAATTACGCGCGATAACGTGGACGCGGTCTTTGTCGCTTTTGATGCTGACGGTAAGTTTTAGTTATGGAAAAATAAAATTTCATCATTCTGGATTTCATAATAGGACTGGACAACAAGAACAAGAACAACAACAACAACAACAATAATAATAATAATGAATGAACCCATTGCATACGAGCATGCCCAGCTATATACCTTGTAGAAAGTGTTGCCAGGTTATATTACAATTGCTGCTTAATTGTGTCTTCTTTTAAACATAACTTCGTATTTTTTCTATCTAGGAAGCGGCGAAGTTTCTCCGGCCGAGTTTAGAGCCAAATGGACCGAGGTAAAATTATCTTGACATAAATGCAGTGTAGATTTTCCGAGGAAGAAGAATCACTGTTCTCCAAGCTGTAGTAACAAGTTTTAACAGGCGCTATCGTTTGTTCGCAATTTGTTCACGAATGTACAGGCATGTGGTTCGCTATTTGTAGGGTGTCTGTATGCGGTTGCTTACATCTTTGTGATAACGGCTTGTTATGATATGTTAGCCGCGGCGAAAAAAGAACGCCGTTTGTTGAACCCACAGTTGCCTTTATCATCCAAGTACAGTTTAATGACCTTTCCACCCCCACCCCGGAAAATTATGATCTATAAAAAGACAACTTTATAATAATTTCTAAATCTGAACAAATGGCATTTATTCATCCAACCATCCCCTTTTACAGGGCGGTCAATAAAAAACGAATTCTTTTTGCATCTCAATTTCAATGCAATTCAATATTTCCAACTTTCTTTCACCAAATTGTTCCATAAAAATGACATTTTATCCTTGCAAATTCTGCAGATATTGGAGACCATTATAGATTACTGAAATTTGAAAATCCGATCAACTGAGTCTACCAAGCATTTTAAAAAAGAATTGAAGACATACCTATTCAGGAAATTTTTTGATTAATCGACTTTTAAATTGATATTATAGATTTTGTAGTAATTGCATTTTGCACTGTAAGTAATAAGGCTGTTTTTTTAAATCTAGAATTGATTATTTTTTCTTAACAAACATATTTTAGTTATTATCTAGATATCTTGATAACATGTATATCAAAATTGAGATGGGTTCTCCTTCAATTTCAGATCACCGGGTCTCTCGCTGCTACCTCGTAAGTACATACTTTATGTCTATGAATTTTTTAATAGAATCTGATTAGATATGCATGCTACGAAGAGCACCTTTCTCTAAGTAGTATAACATTGATAGAAAAAAATTAAGAAATAATAATAAACCGATCCTGTGTATGGCTTAGCCTCCATAAAGTCCAGTTTTCATTTGTCTAGTTGTTGTTTATAGTAATTACCAGTAAAAATTTGAGGTGCAACTTTTGCCTCGTCCCCCACCCTATAACCTTTATCTGTGCTAGACTGCTAGTCTATCCCTTGCGACTGATTTTTTCTTTGAAGTTTACACTTGGGTTGTATGAAATTAGGCCCAGGACCTGCACGAAAAAAAAGAACATGGCCGCAATATTAGAATTATTATTTACCATAAATATTGTTTAACCCCCCATCTTTGAAGAGGGCGAAAATTCGTTCTCCATTCGATTGCAAGCCCGGTGTAACAGGGGCTTTACTGAGCGCGTCTGCGATAGAGCTTTTGGAAAACAATTCTTCATTTCACAGGACTCAAGTACAGGCGAGAATACAGCAACTGTTCAATTTGGTGGACAAAAACGGCAATGGTATCATGTCTCAGGGCGAATATTTTCAACTCCTGACAGGGTTTGACGACAACAGTAAGTGCTGGTGTGGTGATAAATATTTTGAACAATTAAATAGATAAACACAAATAGAGTATCAAACTTTGGCTTCATGTGTTTATTTGATATCAAGCATAGTATAGCGGCCAAGGCAAAGACCGACAGTATTTGCCCTTTAATGTGTACAAGCGGATAAACCAAATCCTCTGTGATATGAGGAGAAATTCGTGTCTGTCTGACTGAGCCCTCGGGCATCTATTAGAACAAGACAATAGAACTTGGGGAACGGGGTGGGGGGCAATAACCTTTAATCATCTTATCTATCTATCTATCTATCTATCTATCTATCTATCTATCTATATATATCTATATATATCTATATATATATATATATATATATATATATTTTTTTTTTTTTTTTTATGGGGACGTCCTAAACAACAATTCCAGTGCCATAGCAGCTATATTTAGTAGTAACACCACTGGAGTTTGCTGGCTCCATCCAAGATATGATTTTCATTCTTGTTTCACCGCTGTGTTTCAGAGGACAATGAGGTCACCCAGGCCGAGTTCTTGGCTCACTGGCCAGGTACAAATGGTGCTCAGGTATTTGCGGCTGCCGCTGCTGAGGACGGTAAAATTACCCGCGAAGATCTGCAACGTATCTATAATCAGTATGATGGCAACGGTAATAGCTCTTATTATGAATTTCACTTTCTGACAGTTTCTTCTTATGGCTTCAAATATTGTTCAGAATTAACTGGATAAGTAATTACATTCAGTTTAATGTCACTTTGGACACCGTTTAAAGGTTTAATTTTTGTTTCATTTAAGATGTGCGTGTAAGTGACATGTATTTTACAACCTTCTGAAAAATAAATCAAACAATTTACTTTATTACTTTTGAAGCATATAAATAATTAACAGAGAACAGATAAGGCAACAGAAGTATAGCGGATGAACGTGCTAAAAATCAAGTCAGCAGTATTTTCTAAATTAAATCTGATTTCAATATTCTTTTTAAAGAAACGTTATATTTTTATTTCTAGGCGACGGCAAAGTCACCCGAGAGGAATTTGCTGCAGCCTGGTTAAAGGTAGTTCTAATACAATTATTGCCTTCGGGTGAGGTGACTTTAGTGATATATGCGACTCTCAGCTAGTATAATTCAGCACCGCCGTCATTTGCAAGTGATATTATAACAGTTGTATGGATAAAAAGTAACTGTATTATTAACCCCTATTATCGAATAGTAGGAATACATCTGGCATTACATCCCCCAGGAATATTTGAAGGGGTTGGTGGTGGGGGGGGGGTGCAGATGCAAAGCCGACCCGACCCCTCATCCACCCCGGGCGGGATCGCTGAAGGGCCCCAAAAATGGATATTTTAGAGGGCGACCGAAGCCATTTGGTACCGTTTAGAACTTTAAATCAGCTAGCCAAAATTCTAATTCCAATTAGAGTTAATTTTTTCAGAGACTGAAGGGGGAGGGGGGGGGGGTCAGAGCCCCATGACCCCCCTCTAAATCCGCCACTGCTCTATCAGTCAGATCATTGCCATCAGTTTTGCCATTGTCAATGAGATTTTATTTTTCACCGAAGATGGGGAAAAGATACAAGAGTGAGTGTAGAATTACTTTATATGTTTAAAGCTGTAACGTTGTGTTTTTTTTATACATTCCAGATCGTTAGAGAGAATCCTGCCATTCTTGGTTGAGTGAACTCATTGTTGAGTGAACATGATTTGTAACAGTGCTGAAGAAGGAGATATGCAAATTTCGTGCTTATTTTTACTTCCCTTACAAAATTACGGACTTAAGTGTGTACAAAGTGTTCTCCCAATTTCTAATTTTTTATCTTGGGTTTCGTGAAAATAAAATGCAGAGGGAAAATAAAGACCAATTTGGATTGCACTTGTTGTTTTGAATTATCAGAGCATTACAATTACAAGATAAATATATGTATGCAAACATAAAGGAAAAGAAACATATGTCACGATGGTATTAAATCTTACTGATTATGCAGGGTAAGAAAAAAACAATTTTCATGTTCCTTCATATTCTTTATTGTCACTTAAAGACTACGTTATCTACATTTTCTTCCTCTCCCTTCAACCTCCTACAGTGCTTTCCACCGTTTACATTACATTTGCCGCGTAAGTACGACGAATGTCAAGCAATTCAGTTACGTGTACAAAACACTCCCCGTACCTTAATCACTCGAGGCTGTCAATCACTAACATTATCTCCCGGGGACGATATGCCTGTCCCTAGGCATATTTTAAATTAAAATATACCACTAAATAATCCTTCTTAAGCACATTTTTATCAGAAAGTCATACCAAAAATATGATCAAGTGAAAAAATTCTATATAATTTACTTACACATAAAATAGAAACACATTCGACATGAAACCAAATATATAACTCAATGGAAAATCAATTGTTCGTGGATATACAGACTTGACATTTAATATGGAATATTTCAGTTTCAAAGGTATACATAGGTAAAAATAAGTTCTTTTTTCAAAAAACTCCGATCTCATATAAGATTTGTGAATGTAAAAGTGTGCTGTCAGGTGTGTCACTACCAATTAACTGACTTTCATGCCTGTTGTGCTGCTACATTATGTAATTTGCATGATTTAATTGGGTAGTGTTCCTTTGGGCTGATCAAAGCTTGGCTTAGGCAAAGCTTGGTTCTGTCAAAAAAAGTATCCATATTTCGGCAACTACTGCATAGAAGAATTTGAAATTTTGCTTGCAAGCGGTCAGTTTTGCAGTGCATAAGATGAGTCAAGAAGTGTATTACAAATCTGTTAATCTAAGGCAGAATGGCGCGAAAAAGACAGACATAACCAGACAGATCATAGCGCCAAACGGAACGGTCCCCACAGTTTTATAGAGTAATGCCCAGACTGATGTACCTACACAGAGGTCACCCCCAATGTATCAAAATTTTACCTACAGGGTACAGGATATATTTCGTATTGGCATTTTAATATGTGGCCCAAGAGTATAGATACTTTTTGCTTGTGTTCAACGGACATTTAATCTATTACTCTCTTATTATGGCTCTGACACATTTTCTTATACGGTTTCCCTCTTTTGATTGTCATTTTTGATATAGAAGGAATGCATTACGTGACACATTAGGGTCGATCACTCCCTGTCCAGTAAGCAGCAGTGAACACAACGTTGTGACTGACCAGCGCATCGTTCGTATGAAGAACTTGTTCATCTTCATATCAATATCCACACTGTAGCACTCCTTTGAGATGACTATAAGAGAAACACTTGTTTACATGTATATCAAGTTCGATCCACGAATGTATAAAATTATACTTTGAAATGATCAAGTCACAAAATGTGAGAATTCCCACTTGATTTCTACATGTATGTTATCAGTTTCATGGCATCATGCTGTTCATATAACAATAATCGTCTGGTTAAATATCGATAATCAGTAATCATAAGATACATAAGCTGAATATAGATATATTAATAATACTTCACTTACTTGATATTCAATACATAATACTTAACGTGTCATTATAGCCATGCACATGTAATGCAATAACATATTTGACTCAAAGTTAGCTCATAAAATTTTAAGTTCGTTTTCACACAAATGAATAGTTTCCATTTGGTATAGTCAATTGTATCATTCATTTTGAATTACAGCACGAGCCTCTCCTCGCTCGCACAGCCTCTCCTGCAATTAGCATTCAACCTTTAACAAACAAAACTCAAAGCAATGTGCCAATAAAACGTGATTATCGCATGGTATGACGGTCGTGATGTGCAATTGCCCCCACGCCATGGCTTAGCATCGTCTGTTCTCCGTCCTTGAGACTACTTTTTGACCGTGAGAGCGTCACAGTAACTTGTGAAGATAATTCGCATAATGCGTGACTCGTAAAAATATCAGATCACGATCTGTTATATAAAAGCTCGTCTCCTAGGTAAATGGGTCAGTTGACTTAGTTTTTGTGTCGTTCGTAATTGGTGCGGGATCCAAGTAAGTTATATATATTTTTTATACAGTTTTTACTTTAACGCGGGAAGTTGAAGTTAAATTAGAGTGATTGCATTGTGGAACCTGTTTATTCAGTTGCAAGGGTGTTTATCAAAGTTTCTTGTTGTAGGGTTTCCCGGACAGATCGTAAACCTTTACTTCGGCACCAAGTACTTTTGTACTGGTCGCTACATCGGCTTTACGAAAGCTAATAAGACGAATCTTTTATGACCAATATTATTAAGATGTAATGCATTGGATTTTGCTAAATAATATTGTATATAGAATGTGAAAAATTGAAATCGGAGCGTTTTTCTTAACACCAGGTATATTTTACACTCACATATTGTTAATATAATTATGTACTAATGCATGATATAAATAAAGATACCGAATTTGCACGTATATTTCATTATATGTAAATCATATATGTTTCATTTCAGAAAATTCAGAAACATGAAGTTTTTGGTATTCTTAGGACTTATAGGGTAGGTTGATATTTTTTTCTGATTTTTTTGGTTTTTGTGTATTCTTTTTAAAAAATCAGTTTGATATCCTCAAAGATACGTTGAAATAGGAGCAGCTATGTCCACGCCTACGTTGAGCTTAACCTTTCGTAGATTTATTTCATACTGAGTAGTAAAATATTCTTTATTATTTTCAGGTTTGCTCTTTGCCAGGACAGGATCGACCAGCTGTTTAGCTTGGTGGATGCCAACAAGGACGACTCCATCCAAAAGGCCGAACTGATGGCCGTGTTCCTTTCATTTGATGACGACGGTAGGCAGTTGTTTCTGTCTCTCTTCGCAACCGCATTTCCTGTTGAAATGACAAAATCCAAAATCATGGTAAAGTTTCAATACATGAGCAGCGAACGTTTCACCAGTTCTCTTCATTTTCAACATGGTCTTGGAATACCTGCTCCTTCTAAGTAACGGGAAGTGTATCTTATATGCATCCGTGATTTTTTCATTTGGAAGCATGTTGCCGTTAAAATCAAACAATACATGAAGAAATGATTTTATAAGTATTATTTTGAAGAGAGATCGGCCTCCAGTTTGTCAGTTCCGACCTGTTTTGTCTCGTTTAACGCAACTGAGGGTCCGTGTACCAGAAAGTTCGCCCTCCATTTAGTTATAATGGTTAGGGCTAGCCCTACCTAAGTGGGTCAAAATCTAAGGCGAGGCTTGCCTGTACAATTGCAAATGGTTGGGAAGCGGACTCTGTATTAGGGGGGACTCTATGTTACGTTACACCGGCTCCGTGAGCTCTGCTGGCTCAGCGTCATGTCGGCGGATACAAGTCACCGTTTCTTCCTAGACAACTGGGACCTGTGTCCCCATCTCTTGAAATTAGGTCACATATAATTTTGAACCTCTTGATTTGGGACTCTGTTGGTGCATTTGCAAAGGTGTGACGCTCGTCGAAATATATAATGCAACCTTGTCAAAATTTTTGAAAATCAAATGCTAAATTTCCCTCAAAACCAAAGGGAATATGGGAAATTTAAGTTACTATAGAAGTCTAACCGAAAGTCATTTGTGGAGATTTCAAATATGACCTTAGATTTTACCTTTGACCTATATTTTAAGGTCGAATGGGCCAATATTTTGTAAAAAAATAATTATTTATGAAAAATATATTTGTGTCGATTTTTAGAGACTGAATAGACCTATGCTTTTTATTATGGTGAGAAGTTACACTTGGGGTCTCCTTTTATCTTCATGAGATTGTGGTCAATCGGTGCATTTCCACGGTGGAAGCGGCCATTCAATGCCAAAGTGGAAAACTCTCTTTTTCTCAAGAACTGTTACTTGTTTGTTTCATTTTGTAGAGCTTGTCAAGCACAAAACTGGACATTTTGGCCTTTTTTGTTTTCTATACTATTCTATGCTCTATTTAAAAAATTACAACCCAAATGCACGATGGTGTTAAGGTTCCAAAATTAAATGTGAAGTACTCCACAATTAGCAGAGATATACCCATAGTTAATATTAAACGTGGATAGGAAATCATACACTGGCAATCTTGTGGTCGTGAATTTGACCTTTGGCGTACTTTTCTCCATGAAATGCCCTTTGCAAATTAGCTAGCCTTTATATTTGTTCCAGGTGATGGCAGTGTGTCGGAGAATGAGTTTGTCACTAATTGGGTTGCCAGTACAGGGTCCTCCCCAGAAGCTGCGAAGGCACTCTTCGACCTGACTGACGCTGCGGGTGGCGACGCGAACGGTGCAATTACGCCCAATGACGTGGACGCGGTCTTTGTCGCTTTTGATGCTGATGGTAAGTTCAGTTATGGAAAATTAAAATTACATCATTTTGGAATACGAGATTTGATAATAGGACTGGATAACAACAACAAGAACAACAGTTATAATAATAATGATTAAACGTATTGTATACGAGCATGCCCAGCTATATACCTTGCAAGAAAATGTTGCTATATTATATTACCATTGCTGCTTTATTATCTTCTTTTCGACATGACTTAGTTGTTGTCAATCTGTCCGCCTGCTCAGATCCCCCTTTACAAAAAGGTGCGACCTTTGTGACAGCCGTGTGCCTCTTTGTGCGACCAAAAATATGAGCAGCGTGCTCATGTTTATGTATTATTTTTTTACTTCTTTATTTCAACACAGTGGTATTTTTTTCTATCTAGGAAGCGGCGAAGTTTCTAAGGCCGAGTTTAGAGCCAAATGGACCGAGGTAAAATTATCTTGACATAAATGCAGTGTAGATTTTCCGAGGGAGAAGAATCACTGCTCTCCAAGCTGTATTAACAAGTTTTAACAGGGGCTATCGTTTGTTAGCAATTTGTTCACGGTTGTACAGGCATGTGGTTCGCTATTTGTAGGGTGTCTGTGTACGGTTGCTTACATCTTTCTGATAACAGC